AACTTCCTGTTTTGTCACATTTCCATTTAGGGAAAGAATAGATTTTAGAGTAGGCCAGCTTTAATTTCATGCTTAAAGATTCTTCTGAAATTCACTTTGAAGCTGTCCAAATGTCTAAAGAGGGAAGAAAATGACATGTCATGTCTCCACATAAAGTCATTTGTCAAAAAACTTCATTTGGCCCTGTGTCAGGGTTGCCAAGAAGGAAGAGACACTTCTTTGCTGTGAGAAATTTTAGTGTATGACTTGCCAACATTGTAACTTGCCCTTAGGGTTACCGTGTTAAATGTGGTCAAAGTTTTAAATGAACTATATTGTCCTTGAAGGCAGGATCTGTGTTCACTTCTAGTAGATTTTTCTTATGGAAAGTTGTAAAAACTGTATTCAGCCACATTGCTTCATTTACAGTAGAGACAGGCCAAAGGTCATTATGTTAACTCAAATAGAAATTGGCTCCAGTCTGAATATGGGCCATCCTGTGCATGAAAGTTAGAGTAAAGCCATTTTTAAAACCTTTTGCAGTCAAAATAGAACATTTAGTTACAAATGATGAGTTGTCATATTTTATGAAGTGAATTCCTAGATATGTGTTAGTGAAACATGTACGTAGAACATGCCTTTATGGTAAACCTGAATCATACTAACATTTCTGCTGAGGAAACCTGGGTACCAATTTTTATTGTGGTGGAACCGATCTCTTCCATCATTTTTTTGACCAAAGTGACCTTGGGCTGCTTTTAGTCAGAGCTATTGTTCCCTTGACGTTTCAGTCAAATAAGTTCCTAAAAGCCGGGCGTGGTGGCGCACGCATGTAATCCCGGCACTCAGGAGGCTGAGGCAGGTGGATCGTTGTAAGTTCGAGACCAGCCTGGGCTACAAAGTGAGCTCAAGGCCAGCGTGAACTGCATAGCAAGATCCTGTCTCAAAAAGACCAAAAAAAAAAATTCCTAAATGTGAATGAACAGTAAGTTTCTTCCGCATTAGTGTCTTGACTTAGTCCACCTTTATATTGGAAAAGTTCTCCAACATTTGAGTTGCCATATTTGGAGAGCTGATGTTAAATTGTAAATATGTGAAACCATCTACTGTAAATTTACCAGAGTTTTTTCCATCTACTTACATGTTCTTATTTGTGAAACACATACAGTATTTCTCATAAAATGAGAAAAGCTTTTCCTAAATACCCACCATCCCCTACTGATTTATCCTGTTTTGTTTCGTTTTTTTTTTGAGAGAGAAGTCTCGCAATGCAGTTCAGGCTGGCCTTGAGCTCATGTTGTAGCCCAGGCTGGTCTCGAACTTGCTATGGCATTCCGTGAATTTTGACTTACACATTTTTATGAAGTCCAACCAGTATATGACGTTTTACGTCACAATTAAAAATGGCCTTGTCCTTATTTCTTTTTTCCACCCTCTAGAATCACTGATCTGTAGTTTTGCCATTCCAAGATGTCCCATGTTGGAGATGTGCATTGTGTGAATCAGACAGCCTAAGCTTTCATTGCGTTTAGATGAACACCTTAGGTGTACTAGTGATATGTTAAAGTTCATAAGAAGCTGCCAGACTGCTTTCCAAGGCAGCTGTACTGCTTGCATTTTGCATGTGCCGTGATGCATTGCTGTTGGTCCTCATCCTCACCAGTGCTTGGTGGGGTCATTCTCTGTAGTTGTACTCTTTAAAAAGATGAGTAGCATCTCACTGTAATTTTAATTTGCATTTCCCTAGTAAATACTCAGTGATTAATATCCTTTCACATACATATTTTCCATTTGTGTGTCTTTCTTCCAGAATTGACTAATTCAACTATTTTGCCTTTTCTTTTAACAAACAAAGTCTGTGTAGTGCAGGCTGGCCTTGACCTCATGGCAGTCCTCCTGCCCCAGCCTCCAAGTGCTGGGATTACAGGCATGTGCCACCCTGCCCAGCTGTTTTGCCTATTTTTTAAAATTGGACTGTTTTGTACTGTTTAATTTTGAAAGTCCTATATGTATATATTATTCTGGACACAAGACCTTTGTGAGACAAATGATTTGCAAGTATTTTCCCTCATTTCTTGTTTGTTTTCACTTCTCGTTATTTGCCCCTTTTTTAAAAACAGATTATACTTATGGTATAGTATAAAGAACTTTTTTTTTTTTTGAGACAGGATCTCACTATGCAGTTCAGACTGACCTTGAACTCACTTTTTGGCCCAGACTGTCCTCAAATTCGCAGCAACCCGCCAGCCTCAGCCTCCCACGTGCTGGGATGACAGGCATGTGCCACCATGCCCGGCTAAGAACTCTCTTAAAACTAGTAACAGATCTGTTTTCTCCCTAGAAGTTTCATACTTTGACAATACTACCTTAATTTTACAACAAAACAAGAAACAGTAAGTTACTCCCTTTTTTTTTTTTGGACAGGGTCTTGCTATGTAGCCCAAATGCTTCAGCCTCCCAAGTGCTGGGATTATAGGCATACGCCAGTGTGTCTGGCCTCACATTTTTTATAAGTTGTTTTGTATTTTGAATTACATTATTGGTCTCTGATCACTGCTGAATTAATTTTTGTAATGTATAAAGATAAGGTTGGACATTCTTATTTTTCTCCTGCATATGTCTGTCTAAATATTCCACCACCATTACTTTCACATTTTCCTGGGCTAATGTTATGTAATGAAATGGTTTCATGGTCTAGAACATTAAACCTAAAGAAAGAGGGATAAAAACCCATTACATTCTGTTTGTAACTGAGCACTGAAATATTTTTTTCCTCATCAAAATGCCACCAGTACCAGGTTTGGCGAGTTACCAAGGTGACAAATAGTGAAGTATGAGTGCTTTGTTAGTTTTTGGAGGACTGGGTAAGCTCAGTGGTTGAGTTAGCATCTTCATGGTCTGGGGTTTGATCCATCCTGGAAAAACTGTTTGCTACCATAAACTGTATAGTAGGTCTTGATAACAGGTAGTGTTTTGGGTTTTTAATTTTTACTTTTCCAGTATAGATTTTAGAAGGTCATTGGTTTCTTATCTCCCAGAGTAGAAACTGAATCTGTAAAACCACATTGAGGAGAACTGGCCTCCTAACTCTGAGTCATCTGTCTTCTCCCATTTAATAATTGTCAACATGAGTTTTGAAAGGGAGGATTGGGCATGTACCATAGTGCAAGGTCCTGAGTTCAATCTTCGGTGCTTAAACTTTCACTTATGTTGCCGTTTTTACTAGTATGTAATCTTCGTTTAATAAGTGCAGAAATTAGGTGATGTGTATGAGGGCATACAGTGACGAAGATGAAACCTCTCGATTATAAACTAATACCCTGGTTTTAATTGTTGTTAGTTTCTTTTTTTTTTTGGTTTTTGTTTTTCTCCGATACCGGGAACCAAACTCAAAACGTTGCGCTTGCCAGGCAGGCGCTTTGCCGCTGAGCTAAATCCCCAGTCCCCTGTTGTTAGTTTTCTTAAACTGTTACGGGTATAGTGGGGTAAGCCCTAAGTACTTCTAGCAAGAAGAATCCCATTCCAGAAAATAATGTCCTTGTTTTACACAGTGCTGCCCTCAGTACTCATCATTAATTGGTTCCAGTACCAAAAAAGTATCAAATGAATTGTTTTGGCTGGAAGGGGCAGAGAGTCACAATGAGCAGTTGATGCCAAATAAGTTCCAGCCTGCACATCAACCACAAGGCAGATGAGGACCAGAACAACGTTTTTGATCAAGGTGTGTAGAGTAGCAAATTTGACAAGTTTCAGAGCAGTCACATTACCAGGGTATCGCTGTTTTATGAGTTTGTTTTCCAGATCCATTTAGATGATAAGTCATCCATTTAGATGATAAAAGTCACACTAGTCTTACTGTAGAAATCTTATAACAGGTGTGGTGATGCATTGCATATAACCCCAGTACTCAGGAGGCTGAGGTGTGAGGATCCCCAGGAGTTTGAAGTTATCTAGGGCTACATAGTGAGTTCATGGCCAACATGAACTACCTAGTGAGACCCTGTCTCAAGAAACAAACAAACAAAAAAAAATAGTAATAATAAATAGAAGACTCAGATCAGTACATTTTGGAACCAGTATTCTTAAAATAGTCCATTTTATTCTGTTAATATGAATTATAACAGAAACATTATAATTATAAATAGTACATTTTATTCTGCTGTTAATACGAATTATAACAAACATTATAAATGACTGCAGTCATTCATTTCACATTCTAGAATTTGTTTAAAGAAGAAATACTGTGAAATAGGAAGAAACTGTTGAAAAGGGAGGGAAAGAAAAATATAACAAAAGGATAAAATCTAAACAGCTTTATGAACTGCGGGGATTGAAGAGGGGACAGGAATGGGGAAAAAGGAGAAATCAAGATATATCATGTACAGGTACAAATTCCCTGTAATGAATGTGATCATTGTGTATACCCAAATTGTACCAATAAACTTAAACTAACAAAATGAATAAGAGTTTAACATTTTTTATGTTGGAAACACGCAAAGGACTTTTAGCAGGGAGAGATGTAACTGTTCAGAGGGTTTTGTGAGAGTCATTAGGAAAAACCCAATAAGAAATAAATAGCTTAGGCATAGGGATAAGTGGATATAATAGATTCTTGCAGAAGCGTAAAAGATAAGAAATTCAGTAATTAGACAAGCCAGGCCATACCTGCAATCGCAGCAACTCTGTGAGACTGAGGCAGGAAGATCACAAATTTGAGCCCCATTTGGGCTGTTTAGCAAGACCCTGTCTCAGAAAAATAAAAATGGCTGGGGATATAGCTGCATGCAACGGCTTTGGATTCAGTGCCCAGTACTGAGAAAGAACAAATGAAAGAAAAACACATACACACAAATAGAAAAATAATACTGAGTTAGTGTTATACATGGACATTTTCATTTCATTTGGGGGCTTTTCATCAGCATAAAATGACAAAAATTAATTATCTTAATTTGCTGTTTGTCATATGAAGTTTCTAATGTGTCAGTTAAACAGACTGATGACCTATGACTTTTATCTTTTAGAGGCATTTGTGATAGAAATACAAGCAAATGGATGAGTCTTACCAGATAAGTACCTTTTGTATTCTAAAATTCATTTTATGTGTAACAGCTAAAGCAAAACTGTTCTTTACAATGTGTTTTTTTTTTCTTTTAGATAGCAGGATCAAGATGACATATAATAACAAGGTAATCCTAATTTTACAATAAATTTTATATTAATGTCAAAGTATGTTTACCTGAATCTAGGTTAACCCTATGTATATATTAATCTTATGTAAGTAATCATTTTTTCTAATAACTGTATGGAACTAGGTATTGCTGCTTAATTTGACATTTATCAGGTATTATGGCATCTGCAGTAGTTATAATTGGCTTAGTTGCTCAAAACTAAGTCTTTTTTTTGTTGTTTTGTTTTGTTTTGTTTTCTTGTCTTTTTGAGAGAGAGTCTCAATATGCAGTTCATTCTGGCATTGGGCTCACTTTGTAGCCCAGGCTGGCCTCAACCTTGCAGTGATCCTCTCGCCTCAGCCTCCTGAGCGCTGGGGTTATAGGCATGCAGCACCACACCTGGCTGTTTTTTTTTGAGACAAGGGTGTCATTAGGGTGGTTCAGCCTATCCTTGAACTCTCACTGTGTAGCCCAGGCTGGCCTGGAACCTACAGCAGTTCCCTACCTCAGCCTCCTGAGTGCTGGGATTACAGGTGTGTGCCATCGTGCCTTGGCTTCAGTCTGACCCCCCCACGCCCCGCCCCCAGTACTGGGGATCAAACTCACGACCTTGCGCTTGCTGGGCAGGTGCTGTGCTGCTGAGCCAAACGTCCAGCCCCCTAGGTCTGACTTCTAAAGAGGGTTATTAGCTGTATTGGTAGGAATTTCAGAATAGTTACACTGAGAGCATAGTTATAGATGATTCATGTGCTAGTCATATGGAACTTTGGGAAAGTATAGAACTGACCATAGACCAGGTTAGGTATAGCTATCTTCTGTCTGAAAATTTAGTCATAATACTGATTTAAAGTTGTATCATAGTTAGCAATTCAAGTATAATGACTTGCCATTTAAACTACACAGATGCTCAGAAGTCCAGTAGTACCCTGCTGCTAAATTCATTGACCATTACCTTCTTAGGAAAAGGTAACAGCTGAATGGAGTATCATCATGAACCCAATAAAGTATGTGTACTTGGTCAGAGTTCAAATTGTCTGTTCCTCTGTGAATACCACTGTTCAGGTTGTGACGCTTGTTCTTGTCCGTTCACATAGCCCTTTCACGTACTACATCCTCATGAGCTTGTGTGTGTTACTGGGGAGCAAACTCAAGGCCTCACATATGCTAAAAGCAAGCACTACACCACTGAACTGTACTCCAGCCCATACGTACTACTTATTTTGGGCCTAAATGGTGGACATTTGCTTTTTTTGTATTTTTTATTTTACAGACTAAGAAAATTTTAAGTGACAGAATAGAAACTGTATTTATCCTCGAAACTACTTCTGCTCACAATAATAAAGGAAAAGAACAAAATCAGTGACTCTTTGTTAGCCTTTCCTGTTGCTAAGAAAAATTACCCAACACACACACACACACACACACAACCAGAGAAGGGGGGGAGACACAGCCCAGCTGTCTCTTTCTGTCATACACATACACACACACCCGAGGGGGGAGGAGCCAGAGACAGGAATACCCCCTTTATTGTCCCTAGTGACCCTCCTATTCTGATCGGCCTCCCCTTCCAAAAGCAGTCTGCTGTAGACTACCAGTGATGAGTTCAGTAGTGAATACAGTGCCCCCTTGATTCCAGTTACATTCCCTGATCACTGCCTGTAACCATGAGATTTATAAAACTGAAAACACCTTGTTTTGCTCACACATTAAGGACTGCCTGATGACTACCAGTTATTTCACTAAGTTCGAAAGTGGCCAATAATTTCAGTCATTTCCTTAATAAACTGATGGAATGTGTCTGATTTGAAAGCCTCATTTTATAGTATTTTAACAAGGTTTTAAGAAAGCATGAGTCTATTATATTATACAAATGTCCTCAGGCCAATTTTGTCAGATGGATATTACCAAACTTCACTTGTTACAAGACAAAATTTTAATGAAAATTCAGCAGTGGGATATATATAATCCAGGGGCTAAACAGTTGCAAGGGACAGTCATAGAAATTTAAAGCTCAAGTGATTGTTACATATTCTCATCATCTGATTCATCTTCTTCCTTCAGTGATTCCTGTTGAGAGAAACAGTTGTAAAATTCAGTTTTTAAAATATCGTTACATCCCACATCTGTGGTTAACAGTTACCTGACTCTATTGAGCATTGCTCACTGCCTTTACTCACAAGTACAAAATGAACAATGCCTTAGAATACCCAAGGAAACGATAATTAAGCATATCTTGCTGTAACAACCAAGAAATGAAAACATTAAATGTCCTAAAAGCTTGCAGCTTTATCCCCACTGTAGATAACGTACAGTTTGTATCCTCAGTGCAACTCTTTAATAGAAATCGAGATTTCCTTATTACTGTAATTAAATATAGTAAGCCTCCAACTTACAAACGTTTGAGTTGCAAACTGTCACTAAGACTCAACTTTGTCAGTTTATGAACTAATCTGACTTACAATACATGACTCTAGCTAGAGTTCTTGTGCTTTGGCTTACCTTGGCATATTTCTCTGCTTCTTCCCTTATATCTTTTGGAACAATTTCATGTCTTCCTTTAGTTACTGTAAATTAAGACACATATTTAAGTGAAATTAAAAATGAGAACTATATGATGTCTGTAGTATCATATAATCTACCTAATCTTTAGTTGGTATGATTCATCTAAGGTTGTAAACTTGTACTATGAGTAATACAACTTGATACTTCGAACTCATTTTGTGTTTCTTCCATGTGAGACGAAATGTGCCCAAGGTAACTCTTAGAAATGAAGTTACAATTTATATTGTCAGCATTACTTTATAGCATGATTAGATTTTGGAAATAGCCTAGCCCTGAAGTCCTATAGTTAACCCTGCTAGAAAGAAAGAAATTGGGACCAGGTCTGGCAAATGGGAGATCCTGCGTTCAATTCCTGGTACACCCGCCCCCCCCCCAAAAGAAAGAAATCATTTCTCAGTTGTTTTTAAAACCATGTAATAGATGTTTCATGAAGTAATCAGTTGTTCATAACTTCAGTTATTAAGCAGAACTTTTTCCTCACTGAATTACCTGGTAGTTATGCTTTGGCTTTGTTTTAAAAGGGAAGCATTTGCAAACTAAGTGCAGTACCATTGAGTCCTGAGCAAATGAATGTCCAAAAATAACTTACATTCACCAACCCAGCTGAGCTCAAGTTCAAAAGCTTTATCCTTAACTTCATCGTGTACTATGTAAATTCTAGAACAGAAAAGGACAAGTTATTACTTGGTCACCTTCAAATACCAATAATACCCATAAATATTAAGAATACTCATTTCTTAATGCAAGTTATTTATACTTATATACACAGTAAACATTAGAAAACACAGAGTATACACACTGAAATACAAGAGTATTTGCTCTCAAAGTTTTGTTTATTTTGATGCATTATTTTAAAGTTCTCTAAAAAGCATCTGGTAAGGCGCTGGGGATTTAGCTCAGCAGCACAGTGCCTGCCTGGCAAGCGTAGGGTTGTGAGTTCGATTCCCGGTACTGGAAAAAAACTAAAAAACAAACAAACAAACAAACAAAACCATCTGGTAAGGAACATAGATTGAAATTGAGAAAGCCCATTATACAGCATGCCTCTTCAGGATTTTTTTTCGCTGTGCACTGAATACTTCAAAAAACAACTAATTGAGGTAAGACTGGTGGTGTACACCTGTAACCCCAGCAGCCTGAGTCAAGATGATCATCGCTCCAAGTTTGAAGCCTTGTCTATACAGGTTTTTGCATGTTGTCTCAGCAGAAAGGATAAAAATTCTTTTAAAAGACAACTAATTGTTTTTCTGGTGTTTATTTTACAACTGGTTATATGCCACCTAACTTGGCTTCCCAGTGTTGTGTATTATAAACTGAAACGAGTAACAAAGTTAACAGGAAAAATAATCAAACAGTTAAGTGTCAAAGCTTTACTGCTACCTGGCACACCTTACTTTTGGAGGGTCTTTTTTTGTCGTTTGTTTTGAGGCAAGGTCTTGTTAGGTAGTTCAAGCTAGCCTTGAACTCCAGGTGATCTTCCTGCCTCAGCCTCCCGAGTGCTGGAATTACAGGCATGCACCACCACATCTGGCTTTAGAGCAGCTTCTAAAGCCTTGCTGGGGAGCATCCTTGGCTTTCCTACAAAAACCTACAGAGGTCAATCACCATACTTAAATATAAACAGTTGGTAAAGGCTGACTTCTTAACTTCAAAGCACTGGTTCTAAAAGAAACTATTCAGTGTTCCATGTTAAACTGTTGCACAAATTCAATGATAATACTACTTAATTCCTAGTATTACTTTTTACTGACAGAATGGTTGCTTCTATTACAAAGGAAGTTTTATCCTTTTGTTTTTTTTATAAATGAGAATCTTTTTGTCTGTGACTTGTACTCTGAGTTACATGCTGACCATTCTTTTAAGACCATGATATACAGTATATTAACATGATATACAGTATATTCTCTATTTTGTTGTGAAATTGTTTTATTATGTTTTTTTATATTTTCAATATGTACATTGTAAAAAAAAAATGTACATTGTATTACAGTAAAATAAAAAAACTTTTAAAAATGTCTGCTTCTGACTTAACTGAAGCCAAGTGAGGGAAGATGGGCGAGCTGGCAGTAGGGATGGTGGACAGTTAAGATGAAACCATCAGCTTGAAAGATAGAGTACATTTATATCTTATTATATAACAGCATCTGTGACTTTTTTCTTTCTCATGTTGGAAGTAAAATACGACACCAGTGGACTAAAAATGAACTCACTAGACCATGGTCACATAATTATGCTGCTGTGAAATCTCAGGACTATGTAACTTTTTTTTTTTTTGGTCTTTTTTGGGACAGGGTCTCGCTATGCAGTTCAGGCTGGCCTTGAGCTCACTTTGTAGCCCAGGCTGGTCTCAAATTTGCAACAATCCTTCTGCCTCAGCCTCCTAAGTGCTGGAATTACAGGTGTGTGCCACCACGCCCAGCTGGACTATATAACTTTTAAAATACAAAATACCTCTTTGTTGTTTTTTTTACCTAGAATTATTTTTATTTTGGTACAATAACCCAGGCTTATTCACTTCATTGTTACTCATTTTATTCTTTAATTTTGGTACTGGGAATCGACCTCAGGACCTTGTGCTTGCCAGTCAGGTGCTTGTGCCACTAAAATATATCCCCGGCCCTCGTTACTCTTAATTTGTGTACCTGAAATAGAAATCACTTAGGTTTTCTGAGACTTCATTGTTTTACCATGGCTTGTTCTGGTTTGGGTTTTGGTTTTTTGAGATAGGGTCTTGCAGTGTAACCCAGAGTTCAGGATCCGCCTGTCTTCATGTCCTGAATACTTGGCACTACTGTGCCCAATTTAAGTTGCTTTTAAGTTGTGAAATACTGTTCTTGTTGAAAGAACTTTTATGATAAACTTGGAATAGTAAATTAAGTCTTTCGCAAAGAAACAGCAGATTTTATATAAAAGAGGCAAGTTCATGGAGTATGCATAGAAATAATTAGCTATGAACCACACTAAAGGTAGTTTATGGGACTGAGGGTATAGCTTCATATTAAAGCACATGTTCAGCATATGTGAGAACCCTGAGTTCCATTCTCAGCAGCAAACACACAAAGGTGAAGTTGGTAAGCTTCTCTTTTTTTGGACTTTTGAGACAGGGTCTTGTTACATAGTTCAGGCTGATCTTGAACTCACTATGTACCCTAGGCTGGCCTTCAACTTGTGGTGATCCTCCTGCCTCAGCCTCCTGAGTGCTGGGATTAAAGTGTATAAACTTTGTTGAAGGCAATCTAAGGTAACTGTTACTGAAAGTTTTGAAACTCCTGGCAATCCACTATATTCTGCTAGTCTTAAATTCCAACTTGTTTTTTTCTCCAAAGCTAAATTTTCTCATCCCATGTATTGCAACTAAAAAATGTAACTGACTGAGTTGGTTGCTGGTAGAGTGCATGTTTAGCATGCACAAGGCTGAATTCAATCCCTATCACCAAAAAGAAAAAAGATACTCCCCCTTAATGAAGATTCCAAATTAAATTCATCTCTTAAAAATTCTGTATTATACTATTTTCCAACAAAATAGCCTGTTACAATTAACTTACAGCATATTGAAGGTTAAGTGTGATATTTTTGTGAATGGTAAGTTTGAACTTACATTTTTGCAACTTCTTTAACAACATCACGGCAGGTCATTTCTTTCATCTATCAAAAAAATATAATAATTTTATGAGTTGAAGTTTTATGAGTCCCCATTTGAACAACTGTAATTAATAACCCAACTTATAATTAATAACCCAATCTCTTGAGACAGTCTTAGATCTAAAAACCATTTATTAAATTAACTGTATCAGTGCACCCCTGTAATCCTAGCACTCAGGAGGCTGAGGCAGGAGGACTATCGCAAATTTGAAACCAGTCTGAGCTACAAAGTGAGCTCAAGGCCAGCCTGTACTGCATAGCAAGATCCTACCTCAAAAAGACAAAAAATAAAAATTAAAAAAAATAAATTAACTGCATCATACAAAGATAAATTAAAACGACTTGAAAAAACATCTTGCCAGGCTTGCTGGACCACATATGTGATGCCAAATGAGCAAATTTGAAGCCAGCCTGAATTACAGTTCAAGACCAGCTTGAATTATATAATGAGATCATCAGAAAAACAAATGAAAAAGCAAAATAAAACAAAAAACCCTTCACTGTAGTTAGTTTTATTTGCCCTTAGGCAAACTTCTAATAAGCAATAAAGACTTTGCTGCTACTAAAAGGAAACCTGGGCTTTTAAGAAAAATTTTCACATGAAAAGCTAAATT